CATAAGACAAAGGAGGTTTCCTACGCCTGACCATCTCTGACCAGAGGAGGAACAAAGTGTGCTCCATTTCCTGTGGTCAGAAAAATTTCCCCACAATTCTTACTTTCTCTCCGTGATCTCGCAATGCTTCCTGTCAGTATTCCCGAACGTCCTGTCACTTAGACAGAACGCCGGCTAAACAACCAAATTTTGTCCTAAGAGAATGAGAACAGTTTCTCCACTTAGTATTAGTATTACTTAGTATTGGTAAATTCTGTCCCTACTCGCTATATCGCGAGTAGAGGGATGTCTATTAAACAGTGAGCCTGTGGCTGCACACAGTTGTAAAAAGAAAAAAAAATAACCCTAGTGTCCCCTCTTCCACGCGAGTGAGGGCTATTATAGTGAATGCGGGACCTAGCGTCCCCCCGGGACTCCACCCATAAGCGGCGGGTGGGGACCCTAAATGAAAATGGGAGGGGACCTATTGCCCTCCCCCCTTGCCCCCACCCATGAGCGTTATGTGGGGCCAAATATGAAAATGATGGGAACCTATTGTCCTCCTCTGGTCCCCAACCATGAGCAGCGGGTGGGGACCCTAATAAATTAAAGGGGGGACCTAATGTCATTTGCCCTTTCATTTTGTTTAGATTTCATTTGTAGGGCTTTCGTTTACATTTTAGTAAATGAATACGAAAAAAATAAAATTTTCAGATGAAATAGTATTTGTATGAAAACGAATGCAGGTCTACTGAGCTCCGCAGGGTGGGGAAAATCTGATTAAGCCAACCAATCAGAGTGCTCTGACAGGTAAATCCTCTACATTTATCTGTCACAGAACTCTAATGGGTTGGCTTGAAATCCAACCAATCAGAGTGCTCTGTGTCATTTTACACAGCGTGGGAAAGTTCTCTGGAATTTTATCATGCTGTGTAATTTGGCTTATAACTCTCTGATTGGTTGCTATCAGAATGTAGACATAAAAACTAATTTATTTATAATTAATGTATATTATATTCTATAATTCACCAACAAAACTCCTTATTAATATATGTATCACTTTTTCTCCAGTGTTATTTTTATAATATTTTATCATTTTATAATAATCACCAGAGGGGGCTCTGTAACAGTCATGATTCCGGGGCGCTGTGCATGGCCATCCTGAAGGAAGTTACAGAGAGAGCCACTGGTGGAACGCATAACAAAGCTAGGAGGAACGCACAGAAGTATTTGCTGGAACGCATCTTACTTCCAGTTACACTTACGGACATACGAGCAACAGCTGTGCTAAACAGAGGAAGATTATATGGAGGATAAATGCGATGAATTTGCGACTGCACATAACGACATGGCCACGAGTGTGGAACAGATGAGGCAAAAATTGAGAATATGGAAGCTAAAATAGCCGACTGAACAACATTAGGCTGAGGGGAGTTCCAGAAACTGTCGTAAATGCAGACCTACAGGCATGTGTTCGGGGCCTCCTCCATGTCCCAGAAATCCCTGTGGACATGCTCCTCATAAATAGAGTACATTGCATACCGAAACCACACCACTTGCCTGACAACATAACGAGAGACGTACTACTTCTGGCTCATTAGTTCCACATCAAGGAATTTGTTCTTAAAGCCAGCCGGAATAAAGCTAAACCACCAGAGGACTATCCAACTGTAAAAATCTACATGGACCTCTCTACAGCAACCCTGCATAGATGCAAAGATTTTTCCCATATTGCTGAGGCCTTGAAAGAGCACGGCCTATGGTACAGGTGGAGATTTCCCACAAAACTCTGACTGAGTCAGATTGGACTGAGTTAGTCCAGAAAATGAATTGCCTCTCCCCCCCCCCATTATTCATTATAGGGAACAAAGACCATAATTTAGGATTTTATAGTAAGATATTAATACTTTTTGAGTAATTCTGAATTAGATGGTTCATGTTTTTAATAATTTATATATAGTTTTGGGTGTCAATCCAAGATTATTGAATTATTTAGGATTATTAAAGTAATTAATTGAGATTATCAGATCAAGGTTTAAGTTAAGAAACAGAGTTTTATTGGGAATTATCCCCATATGTGTATGTTAAGATTATGTATATAGATTTTGTCAGTCACTTGCTCGAGAAAGTGTTTTAGTACCCATCCTGTCCAATCAAGTATTTATATAGAGTGAGTGTTTCTTTTGTCTGTACAAAGGCATTCCAAAGAGAAATTATGTAAAATTTCATCGAAGACAAATTTCATGAAATATAAGCAAAGCTGAGAGAAGTACATGTTACACCAGCTAAGGATTTAATTTTAGTCTCTAATTTGACTTTTAGCCTAGGTAATTGATAAATTGATAATAATAGGTATATCCTTTTAGAAATTGTTCATGTAGTATTGATC